CGATGACAACGACTGTGAGGAAAATGAGGACAGTGGACAGGATGAGGAGCGTCGTGTCCAGTGACAAACGTCGACAGGGCGCCCGGAGAGCCTTCTCTTGGAAAACGCCATTCGGGCCATGACTGGCGCTGAAGGCGCATGTTGAGAAGCGCAAAGGCTCCGAGGCGGGGACACAGCGCAAGCAGGTCAGACGCGGCAGGAGCACCCGCGAAGCTGGGAGGCGGGGCCGCGGGGGGTGAGGCCAGAGAGCCGAGCGGGCGGCGAGGAGGCTGCCTCGCCGAGGAGACGGAGGACGGGGCCGGGTTTCAGGCAGAGGAGCGGCGGGGCCTCGCTCAGACATGGCGGACTCTCTCGGCCGTCCCGCGGGAAAGAGAGCGAAAGGGCCAGCAGGTTGGCCAAGGGGCCCCCTTGGTCTCCACCAGGTCATGGCACAGGTGTCATGGCGCGGGTCAGGCTAAGAAGGGCCAGAGGTTACTGGATCCTGGGTGTATTGGGAAAGTGGAGCCAAGAGGGTCTGTTTTTCCTCTACACGTAAACAAGAGAGAAAGAGAGGCCTTGCTGGCGTCTGGACTTAGCAACTCCGGGGAGGCGGGGAGACCTCGGCAGGGCCCGATGCGGGCGGGCGGGCGGGCGGGGGAGCTCGGGGCCGCGCAGGGGGCCCCGCAGGGCCCGTGGGGGCCCTGCCTCAGGAGAGGCGCCTGATGGGGGCCCCGGGAAGGAGACGCCTCACGGGCAGCGGCCAGGCCCGTGTCTCGTCCTCCGGAGCCGGGCTGTCCGGCCTGTGGGCGTCTCTGGGCTGCTTTGGAAGAAGAGTTGTCCTGGGCCACACATTAAATACACTGTGACAAGTCATCGCAAAAAACAAAACAAAACAAAAAAAAAACTCATCACGTTTTAACTTCATTTACGGTTTTGTCTTGGGCCGCACTCAGAGCCAGCCCGGGCCGCACGGGGGCTGGGCACCCCCGCTGGAGCTCCGTGGCTAGAATCTGCCCCCGTAGAGGCTCCCACCCTAAGCAGCTCTGCCCGACCTCACTGGGGGACGTGAGCGAGGACAGATACTCCCACAGTGGGTTCCGTGTGTGGCTCAAGGCTCCCCCTGGGCGCGGCCTAGATAACAGCTCGGCACGGCTGCGGAGGCTGGAGCACGGTGAGGGGCAAGCAAAGCAGTCTCCGAGAGGCCGCGTTACCCGGGAAATAATTTGGAACTTTGAAATCGCAGGCAAACATAAAAATCTCTCTTGAAGCGCACGGGGAAACCAGCTATGGCTGACCCATGACCCCCGGTCGGTCCACTATTTGGTGCGCGGTATTTGCATAGTGGCTACTTTATAAGATTAAATCGTTCCCTGTATTTATTATTGACCTAATGCGTTTCAGCTGCTGTAGCGTGTGGTTTACAAATCATCAGGAGCCTGGCACATCCGTGGTCAGGGGAGAGCCAAAAAAGATGTCATCGTCGTGCCTCGGATTGAAAACCGATCTCGTTAGGAACACACAGAAATATTTTAACAAAGAAGCCAGCGGCGGCCCCGCCTCGCCTACAGCGCCGCGGGGCTCCCCGGGGCCCGGCTGCCTCAGGAGCAGCGGAGGGAGACTGTTCTCAGTGAGGGGCAGGTCTCGCATTTGCGAGGGTAAAGGTCACTCGAACGCTTGGTCGCTAGGGACGTGCTGTGGGTCCTGCCTCCAGGGAGTGCCCACTCTGAATTTCAGGAGAAAAAAAGATGCCTATGTTGACAGAATTTTGGGGGGGGGGGGAAGGGAGGGTTTTTTTGAAGATTTTATTTCTTTATTTTTAGAGAGAGAGGGGAAGGAGAGGAAAAAGAGAGGGAGGGAAACATCCATGTGTGGCTGCCTGTCATGCGCCCCCTGCTGGGGACCTGGCCTGCAGCCCAGGCAGGTGCCCCGCTGGGAATGGAACCGGCGGCCCTTTGGTTCGCAGGCCGGCGCTCAGTCCACGGAGCCCCACCGGCCGGGCTGTGCGTGGAACTCTTGGACACCGTCATTCCGTCTCACAAAAAGGAAAATACCCGCCGCCCCGTACCTGTTAAGACTCCTCGAGAAACGGCAGGGAGCCCCTTCCTTTCACTCGTTCGCCCCTTCGCTCGAAGGAGCCCCCCTGAGCGCGACGGTCCCCACGTTCCGTCGGGCGGCGACACCGCTTAAGGCGGGACTCACGGCAAGGTGCTGCGAGCAGTTTTCAGAACGGGTCTCCAGTCTGAAGAGGCAGAGTTTAAAGTCGGAACGACATGTGGCGGGTTCCCCGAGGGCTACTATTTCCGGGCAGCCTCGCGGTTTGTGGCTCAGGGGGCCCTGCCGTATTTCCCTCAGAACGGGGGAGAAGCGTGGCCGCCGCTTGAACAGCTCCGTCTCGGAGCCAGACTCCGCTCCGGCCCCAGCTCGGCCGCCTGTGAGCCGGGGGAGCCTCTGGCGAAGGCCCGCCCCTCCCTGCGCCCCAGCACTGTCGCCTGGCCACTGTGTGCATCCCGTGGTAAGTGGCACTTGGCATTGACTGGCAAACAATAAATGCTCGGCGAAGGGGCCCACCGCTGGTGTTTCTGGAGCCTGGAGAGGAATATAAATGAAGCCTCTTGGCAAAGGGACCCAAAGCCAGACGCCAGTCAAAGCGGTGAAGATGGGTTTTATTCAGAAACTGTTGCAACTGGGGAAAAACGACTTCACTGAGGAGCTGGACGTGAGCAGGATGAGCAGGAACCTTCAGCCAAAGGCCAGGGCGCGGAGACCGGGGGTAGAAAATGACTAAGAAGAGAGAGGGAGCAAGGGCGAAGATTCTCCGTAAAATGACTGAACAAGATTTTTGCTACAGCTGAGCTTGGCAGGCCCAGCCGGGACAGGGGCCCAAGGTCAAGGCCTGGTCAAGAAAAAGGCTGGGAGTCCAGCCAGGGAGAACCCTGGGCAACAGCACAGGGGGACACAGGCTGCAGGGGCCACATCAAGGCACCGACAAGGAAATAAGGCCGGTGCCCCGCGTTGTTCTATCTACTGTACTTCTTACCTGCATGTGCGGTCCCGTCAGGCCCAGCGCCCCGCCCCTCGGGCGGCAGACGCCCCCGCGACCCCCGGAGCCCCCCACGCGTGGGGGCGGGGGGGGCGGACACTGGGGGCGGACAGCAGGGCCCCGAGGCGGGGAGCTCCAGGGTCATAGGTCGCCCTTGTCCCCTGGGCTCAGTGCTCTGTGCCCCGTGGGCGAGAAGGCGGGCGCCGGCGTCGCAAGCCTGGGGCGCTGCCGGGTCTCGCATCGGAGGTGCCGCTCTGAGGCAGCGCGCGGTTACTGTCTGCCACAGGGTGACGGCGTCGTTTTAAAAGCTCCAGCAAACCGATCCGACAGTACGAGACGGAGGAGAACGTTTCCCGCCGCCCGTTTAGACTATTCTGTCCAACACATACACGGACGGTCATCATCACATCATCTCCAAATTGGCTTCACGGACATAAAAACGCACACCCGTTAGCGCGTGATATCAAAAGTCACAGTACGTATTAGATATGTATACTACGTGTGTATATGTGCCCCACGTGTGTATATGATCGAATTGCGTCCCCCGTACCATCGATATACTGACGCCTCAGTCCCCAGAGCACTTTCACCTGCCGACAGGGCCCGCAAGGAGGGACTCGCAGTGACACGAGGTCACAAGGCTGGGGCCTCAGGCCACTGGGGCTGGTGTCCTCCTACGGAGAGGCCACCGCAGAGGCGCAGGGAGAAGAGCCCGCGCAAGGGCAGCCGCTCCCGAGCCAAGGAGAAAGCGCTCAGCGGGGGCCACGCCCACCCGGCCCTTGACCTTGGCCGTCCGGCCTCCAGAACCGCAAGAATCAGCTTCTGTTGTGTGAGCCGCGTCGGGGTGACTTCGTGACAGCAGCCTTAGCCAGCGAACACGCATCTCTCCACAGAAGCCCAGGAACCAGCCATTTTGAAGAGGAGGAAATTGTCACGGAGATCGTGCTGTTGCTATAATTTATAATAACTGTTGTGTCTGCTCCCCCAGAGAACCCTAAGACAAAAATACCCCCTCAGATGCCAAGAAAGGCGACTTCGCTCTCTATCTCTGCCCCCTGACCACGTATGTGTAGGGTAAACTATAACTTACCTTTGTTTCTTCTTTTTTTTTTAAGATTTTATTTATTTTTGGAGAGAAGGCAAGGGGGGAAGAAAGAGGGAGAAAAACATCCATGTGTGGTTGCTTCTTGCACGCCCCCTACTGGGGACCTGGCAGGCAACCCAGGCCTGTGCCCTGACTGGGAGTCGAACCAGAGACCCTTTGGGTCACAGGCCAGCACTCAATCCACTGAGCTACGCCAGCCAGGGCCATTTCTTTTGAGAAAGAAAGGGGATGCGGTTGATAATTATGCCAGGAAAAAGGTATAAACGGAGGCTGATCCACGGCAAGAACACCTGGTCACGGTCCTCATGGAGCTCATTCATTCAGTCCGTTTATCTTCAATGAACAGTCACTAAGGGCCGACCAAGCCCTGAAGTTACAGAAGTGAAAAGCGTAAGGTCTGCGCCCAGGGAACTTACCGTGTATTTAACAAACGGAAAGAATTTAGTCTGTGTTAACCACAACACAGCGCCGGGCTCCATGGGAACATGGCCCAGGAGACAGGAGCTGAGGTGCGGCACTGGGAGGGGCTTTGGAAGGGAGGGGAGACGAGGGGCGCGTCGGGGAAGGGTGCTCCCGAGAGGCAGCGTGGAAGCCGACGACCCTGGGCTAGAGGCCCTGTGGCCTTAAGAGATTGAGTGTCTTAAGGGACTGCCCTTCTCAGCCGAGAGAAGGGCAAGTTCAAGACAGGGCGGGGCAAAGAAGCGCCCCCTGTCCGCGCACCCACCGTGTCTGAACAGAGCAGGTGTCGGAGGACACACTGGGAGGGCGCCTGGGAGCCCTGCTGGCAGCCTCTGTCCCCGAGGAGCACGGACGGCAGGCTTTGTTCCGAAGCGTCTGTCGCAAAGCGGCCAGAGCCCATTTGGCCCCGTCAGAAACGCAGGTTCTTTTTCATCTTTCCAGTGTTACACAGGCCTAAGTGACAAATGAAATGGTGATGCCTGTAAAGTGTGCGGCCTGGCGGTTGGCTACCCCCCACGGTGCGGAAGGACCGTCCCCATCGCGTTAACGGACCCATCCAGCCCCTCGCGCGTTTTCTGTCTTGCTTTTCTTTCGTACTGAGGGCGCTTCTCCACTCTCAGCAAATCTGAGCTATACAGTCCGGTGCGGCCGTCAGCTGCGGGCACCGCGGGCCGCGCCAGACCGCACCCGGCTCGGGCCGGAGAGCTCGCGCCCTCTCCCCAAGCCGCCCCGCTCCCGCGCCCAGCCCCGGCCGCCAGCCTCCTCCTCTGTGCCTCTGCGCCTCACTTTCTTTTAACACTCCACATATACGTGACACCACCTCGGAGGCAGGTCATTTGGAAACCTGTCCCTTGAGGTGCTGCGTGTGTGGCCCGCAGCCTCAGCTCCTCGGGGAGAAGTGGGTGCTTGAGGCTCCCCGCACTGGTAAGGCCCAGCGCCGGGGGGGGGGGGGGGGGGCGGGGCTTCACAGCCACAGTGTGGGTCCCAGCCTTTCGCATCCTTTCCAACGCAGGTGTTTCCTCAAGTCACCTTGCGGGCAGAAGTCACTTGACCAGTTTCTGGTTCTCTCGGAGGAAAACAGTCCATGGGCAGCTGAATGCGCAGCGTGTCTGTGGGGAGAAGGAGCTGCCTCGCAGGTTCCTCTCTGAAAGATCAGCCGCTGCCCGAGGTGGCATGAGGTGGAGCTACGCGTCCCCCTCCTCTTCAACCTTAACTATCATTTCGCAAGTCCCCAGGTCAATTAACCGTATGTCAGTGCTCACGAAGGCCAGTGTGTGTGTCGTGCCCCTCCTCTCCATAGTCAGAATTGATCAAGAAATATGGGGGAAAGTCAAACAGGACTCAAGAGAGAGCCTTTCTTGTTGGCAGAGCTACCTGGGACCTCATGGGGACCAGTGTCAGAAGGAGATGTGGCGTTTTATTTTAATTATACAACGAGCAAAAAGAAAATCTAGACAAAGAGGTTGAGATAGTTTCCTGTCTAAAGAGAACTGACAGAGTTAAATATGGGTAAGATCGACTTTAGCAAAATCAATGAGATCACAGTGAGAAGGTTAATCATCACCAGGCTGGTAAGAAAATTCAATTTCCCAGGACAAATACAGCCTGTGACCTAGTGAACCAACACAGCTTCCTACAACAAACATTTGAATAAGCTCCGCGGTTAACAGTCTTAATATTAGAGATTATAACATAAGGAGATTAAAAGTAAAACTGTCTTTCTTTACTCTTATCCACAATGAAGCGGTAAAAATCAGCCTTAGCCGTTGAATTCTTCAAGTCCTATCAACAGTGTTTATCCTGACTCTGTATTTCTTTCCTTTTAAACGAGGCTGACCTTACCTGCCATGGCAGGCAATCCCAGGCTTGCTTGACATGCTTAGCTTCAAGAAGAGAAGGTCCAGAAGACCTGGGGATAGAAGGTCAGCGTGAGAGTGTGGCCGAACCCAGGCTCCGCCGCCGGCTGCCACAGAAGCCCAGCCCGTGAGCCCCGTGCTGGCGAGAAGGAGAGCGGCTGATTCGAGTGCCGGCATTTCCAGAAGACGGGCGGGTTCCTGTCCTCAAAAGCCTATCTTCTGGCCTCTGGCCAAGCCAGCGATTCTTACAGGGAGTTGGTGGGAATTCGAGAGGGGGACCTTCCCGAGGGGACCCGCCGTTTCTCTCGGGAGTAAGGGGGCCACTGAAGGGGGAGCCAGGCATCTTCTTCCCCAGCTCCGGATTCTCTCCCCGTTCGCATCAGCATCCCTCCTTCCGGGACGCCCGTGGTGCGCAGTGGTTCCCGGCCGACACGGCGCATCTCACAGCTGCAGCGAGGACTGAAGCGCAGGGTTGACAGAATTCTGATCGTTAGCTGGGAGGTTAACAACTTACCCTCTCAGTGCAGGCAGAGGTTTTGGCGAGGAGGGAAGAGAGGGAAAGCAGAACAAAGAGGGAGTGGGTGGGGCGGACTGTAGACAGACAGGCAGCGTCCTTGCTGGTCTCCATGGGGAGCTCTGCGGTCAGCGTCCTTGAGGCAGAGGGCTCTGAGGTCAGATGGTTTCCTAGGTTTACACAGGAATGGAATCTGTTGATCCTAGTGAAGTGTATTTAGAAAAGAAACTCAACGTGTAAACTCTAGCTATGAGGGGAAAATCAGGTCAGAGTAACAAGCTGGGTTTAATATTTACTAAGATTAATATGGGCAGCTTCATATAGGTAGAGTGTGTTCATTCCCCATTACAAGAGGAAGGGGCGGAAGGAGAGAGACACATAGAGACAGAGAGAGAGAGAGACAGAGACATAATAAAAGCTTGCTCCCAAAGGGTTGGTGGAAGTTCCAATTCATGACCCGCAGAAACTTAGAGAAAGAAAAGATTGGTCCCCCCAGAGATAATGTTGCTCAGGAAGAGCATGAAGAACGGGACGAGGTGCCCAAAGAGGGGATCTTGGGGAAAAGATACAACAAAGAAGCCATGGGAAAATAGACGCCGGGGAAGGCGAGAGGCAGCCAGAGAGAGAAGAGCAGGGAAGGTGGTGCCTCGGGAACACGGACCCACGAATGCGGACTGGAGAGTCCCAACGAGGAGCGGCGGGTCAGGTTTCCGAGCGCCACGGAGCCTGCGGCCTGCACAGAGAAGACCGCGGGGAAGGAGCCCCTCTGTGTGGGGCCCAGCGCTGTCCGCGGAGCTCGGCCAGTCCTCCCACCGGGGGTGTGGTTACCTCATTTCACAGGGAAGAAAACCGAGGCGAAGGCAGCTCAAGGGACTGATGGCAGAGCTGGGATTTGAACTTGTTTTCTGACCTTAACTTCTATTATCTTTTCACCATGCTGCACAGCCCCTGAGAATGAGGAGTCAGCTACACCCCCCTCCCCCACCCCTCCCCCTCCCCCCTCCTCCTCCTCCGCCCCCTCCCCTCCTCCCTCCACCTCTTCTCTCCATTCTCCACACTGATCCACTTCGAAGCTGTTTCTTAAAAGTCCAGTTAGGTCACTGTCTGGGGTGGAGTTCACCGTGTCCAAGTTTTTTTTTTTAAGGTTAAAAAAGGTGATATTTGAAAAAGCAACTTTTGTACTAGAGCACAGTTTCTAGGAGCAATTTTACAGGAAGAGTAAAAAGGAGAGACCTGTGTGGTATGATACTTTAACTTGATAAAAACGCTTTCTAGGTTTCACTGTCCCAATTTATTGGTTAAATAAGGCACTAAGTGCTTCCATATGGCAGTGACTTCATTTTCGTGAACAACAAACTGACCTAAATACGAGCCAAGAGAGATTGCTCAACCAAATCCGCAAATGTCGGATTAGAAAAGATCATTAAACTCTAGCCAAGAAGAGTAGAGGCCAGGAATAAAAAAAAATGCTGTGCACAGTTCAGGTCCAAGAGAAACGCAGTTCATTTCTAAATCCTGTTTAAACACTTTTAAAAAAGAAAAACAGCAGTATGCTCCTGAGAAAATCAATCAGCTACAAGGCTTTTTCCTCATTTAGATGTTTAATGTCTTTCCAGCTTACTCTGTTTAAACAGGTAGTTACTTTGAACAGGGACTCTTAAGAACTCTTCTCAGAATTCTCACCAAAACATGGCTAAGATACATAAATCGCCCTATTTGTATGAGTCAGTCAAGATCTACGAATGGTTATTTGCGGAATATTGAGACCTGGTCGATAGTCTTCTTACAAGATTTGTAACAACGTGGCATCTCCCACTGGAAGCTCTAAAGGGTCCTAGGTGACTGCAAGGGCTAAATTTCCGACTATGACCAATTCCCAAAGCTTCACCATCAACAAAATAACTTGACTTCACAGTCCAGGCAAATCAGAGTATCCAGTTTTGCTCGATTAGCTCACACCGGACCTGGACGGACATGCGGACGTTCCCAGCCCTCGTTCTCCTTCTTTGTTCTCCCCTTAACTGTGAACGATGGATGAGCAGTGCACCCTGGCGGGAGGGAAACGTTCTGCGTTCCCAAGCGACCTGTCCGCGAGGGTCCTGAACGAGGACCAGGACCGGTACCGTTGTTTTACGATATTGGAAACGTGGATCCCGTTTCTTCATTCCGTGCAGGTTTTAGAAGCTCGATTAAATGTCAGCGTTAGAAATAAAACAGAACGTTCCACTAGTGCTCAAATTAGCCACTTTCCTCATCTCCCTCATCACCAAGTGTTTTTCATTATTGACCAGCTACTCTGAAGGGAGCACGAGGCAGGGCTTTGGGGCGTGGAAAGGGTCGGGCCCGATCCCTGTTTTTTTAGATATTCACAAAATAATTGAGGAGTCACAGAACATAATTTTTTTTTAAACCTACCAAATATGTAAAAAATAAGAAGGAGAAGAAGAAAAAGAAGAAGGAGAAAGAGGAGAAGGAGGAGAAGGAGGAGAAGAAGGAGGAGAAGGACAAGGAGGAGAAGAAGAAGAAGAAGAAGAAGAAGAAGAGAGGAGGGGAGGGGGGGGGGAGGAGGAGAAGGAGGAGAAGAAGAAGAAGAAGAAGAAGAAGAAGAAGAAGAAGAAGAAGAAGAAGCTTTAGACTTTCTGAGGAAAGAACGGTCCCTCGAACCTTTAACCTCCTGGGTGCTCTTTGGAGGAAACGAGACTTGGGCTGAATTTGGGAGGATATGGTGAGACATACAGAGAAGAAGAAAGTGCATTCTAACATGAGGGAAATTGTAAAAACACATAAAATTGGCATGTTCTTAGCCAGCTCCTAGAACAAGGAGATGACCCATGTCGCTAGAATGGAAGAAGTGGGGACCGATTTAAGACCGGGTGTGTCTTTTTGCCACTGCTCAACTGGACTCTTGAAGTCCAGCTGAGAAAGAAGAGCTTCTGCCCCAGAGAACTATAATCCAGAGCAGGAGTGCGGACACACGGAGCGTGGTGCTACAGTGTTATAGGTGCTGTGACGTGGGGCGGGAGCTTGCGAAGGAGGAAACGGTCATATCTGTGCAAACGGCGAAGGAACGACTCCGCTAGAGAGCAGCGATGGAGTTGGGTGGCAGGGAGCTCCCCGGGATAACCACACGCACAAACCCACGGGGGTTCCAAATGCTGTTTGTTTAAACGGACCTCTAGTGTACGTTTGAAGCTCTTGCGACAAGGAAATCCTACAGCCTCTTTCGACAGCCTATTCCAACGTTCAACAGCGGCCTCTGTCCTACCAAGGTCTCTTGACTCGCTGTATTAGTACCTCTCTCTCTCTCTCTCTCTCTGCAAAATTCAACACAGTATTTTATAACTTTCAGCATAAGCTTCCCAAGTTCACACGAACGCTTCCGTGTGGGCCGATTAAAGGAGAAAGAGGCGTCACTGAAATCCCAGGACAGACGCCGTGAGCTGAAAATCGGGCACGAAAGAGCACCTGATGTAGCGTCCCTGCTGGCACGCGGTCCCTGTGAGCTTCCTGGGGCTGCTGTGCAAACGCAGGGAGCCTCCCAGCTTCGGGGAAAAGGCTTAACCAAAATCCAGGGCTTCAGCTGCTCCCCGTTCCAACCGTAAACACGCCCGAGTGTTTATCCATCAATCACTCCCGGGGCCCTGGGAGCCTGTTCCACTTCCTGCTTTCGTTTACTCTCCATAACCCCCTTCCCTTCAACATCCTCAGAAACTCTACTAAATAAAAACAGAGGCTTTCCTGCTGGGATATGGAATATGTGCCTTGCCACTGGCAGGACACACATCTGCACAAACCCCTGTGAATTTTCAGAAAATCTTACTGCCCAAGAGCCCGTCTCCCCCAGCCTCCTCCTTAAACAGACTTGGCGCATTTTGTCCTAACGCATGATCCACGAGCCCCTGTTTTCTCACAACACACGCGTTCTTGGAAGACACGCCCAGGCTTCCAAAGCAAAGCGGTCTCCTTTGTTCACGTCGGCCCAGGGACCAATCCGCCCGCCACGTGCAGAACTGGGCCACGGTTCGCCCCTCAAGCCAGAAGCCCCCGCCCCGTGCGTTTAGGCCTCTCCAGTGCCCTTCCCAGCGCACAGGGGTGCCGTCTAAAGAGCTGTTGTTGAACGAGCGAGAGAAATAAAATAAACGGGCAATTAATTATTGCAACGTCTAACACTGTTTTAAACTAATGATGCAAATATTAACATTAAAACCGCGCCCTGGTCAAGAGGGTGGGGTGCGTGAAGCTGTGCTCACCCCCTCCCACGACCACCTCGAAATTACAGCTACAGTGGAGAACAACCAACCCGGAGAGCCATCTGAGGAGCAGCTGGTCGGAAGCCCTGTAACTAAGGGAGCACTGAAGGAGCCACATCAAAACCAGGAGGAGGAGCGAAGACTCCCAAGGGGCTGGCCCCGCACCCACGTGCGGCAGCTGAGAACTCGGAGGGATGTCTCGGTAGCAGAGGCCCCCCACCCCGAGGGAGTGAGCCGTCCCACCTGTGTGCCCGGCCTGCCCGCTCGGAGCTCCCGTGCCAGGGAGAGGAGCCCCGCCATACCTGGCTGTGACAATTGGTGGCGATTCCACCTGCCCAGGGAAGATGGGAGGCTGCCAGAAGGCCAGCACCCTCTTCAATGGCCAGCACGCAGACTCGCCTTCTTGCAGGCCCTTCTCCTGGGCTCTGGCAGAGAGACAGTGGCTGGGGAGGCAGCAGAGATATACATTTATATGAAGCCTGAATAAGAGCCTGACTAGCCACAGAAGTCTTGAGAAAGAAGAACAAAGTTGGAAGTATCATGTTACCTGATATCAAACTATACTACAAAGCTATAGTAATCAAAACAGCATGGTATTGGCATAAAAACAGACACATAAATCAATGGAACAGAACAGGAAGCCCAGAAATCAACCCATGTCTATGTAGTCTATTAATATTTGACAACGAGCCAAGAACATACAATGATGGGAAAACAATATATTCAATAAGTGGTGGGAAATTTGGACAGATGCATGACAAAACATTAAAATAAACTACCTTCTCACACCATATGGAAGAATAAACTAAAAATGGATTAAAGGCCTAAATATAAGACTCAAAACCATAAAAATC